ATCATGCAAGTGTCCATAAGGCCACAAGCATCAGCTTAACCAAGATCAAGTCCTGTCTGGCAGACTCATCTAGACCTAGCCTAAATGCTGATTGGATCCCATATATAAAATTGAACCTAGGGGCGGCACACACATACACAACGACAAACTCACACGAGACAGGCACACAGACACAAAGACAAAGCCAGAGACACAGACATATTGTCTAGAGCTAACTGCTTCCTACATCACATTCCTTCGGTGGTTAACTAGCCACCTAGAAGGTTGCAGCCCCATGGAAACAGAGAGATTCAAACTTCTACTCACGCCGTCACACCTGACTGTTCTAGGAAAACAAGTTTTTTGTACCATTTCATGAATTCAACCAGATGATGCATAGAAATATTCACAACAATTTCTAGTTGGAATCAAACTATGAATTATCAGAAGATAAACATTCCATTTAAAGAACCTAAACGCCTGCCAATAGTCTTAAGTACAACAACAGCTACAAGACCAGCTTAGAAGTAAAATGAGTAATTCCAAGCTGCTCTAATTCACGACCCAAGGGTGCAAACCCGCACTCAACTTGCAAAGCAAGTTGAGTCTGGTTGGAGTCTAATCCACGAACCATGTCGGTCAAATCCGTCAACTGTTAAGAGTCAAATGGAGGATCTCATGTGGTTTCGCTCTCAATGAATGTATGTGGTAAGAATCTTGGCACCCATAGTGTACTCTGATGCACCTGATCAAACCCAGCAACAAAAAAATAAGCTAAAATGCCCCTAGCAGTATCCAGACTTCAGACATATTGTGGAATGGGAACCATTCAAGTCACTGAGCCACTCACTTTCCTTCTATCTTACAATCTTCATAAATATACCAATATATATCCATAAAACTCCAAAGGAAAATACTTAGAATTTGTTAATAGTGCGGAAAAAAAACAGCAAAATTTTTTTACATATATTAAATAGACAAACTCAAGACATTCTGAATAAAAAGTATTTCCGAATATCATTTCCAAAATCAATATTCTCACACTCACTAATTATGAAGGCTATCACAAAACATATGCATAAAATAATTGGGCCATCAAGAAGAATCTGGTTTGATGCACCATATGTCTTTGAGGAGCAAGAACTAATTATGTTGAATCACATTCCAGCCCCCCACAAACAATCCCTTTCTGCATGCTTAAATTGTATAATATTGTAATATGGTAAGTCTTCTATTCTATAGATAAGCTTTTTCGGTTTCGCTATCACTCTTCGCCTAAAGCTGTAACTTCCCTCTTTGACCCTTTGCTATTGAAAGAATATATCGATCGAAGAGCTATCGCTTAGCTGCTTCGCATAACACAAAAGCTTTATTGCCCGAAGGGGGCATGCTGCAAGAGTGTAGGTCAGTGATAAGTGTAGGAGGTGTGGCCGAAGGGCAACAGCAGTAATGTGGTTCCAGGTGCCGTCGCTAGATTGAGATGTGCAGGGTGGCGGGGACTTCAACTGCCTTGTATCATGTGAAGAGAAAGGGGTGGTAGGCTTAGTAGGGCTCGAACTTACAATATAACTGTTATGAGTGGTACGTTTCAATTTCTTTTTTCCCTCCTGACAAGTAGGATCCAGGCTACCAGTCCCAAACAGTTACACATTCACCCAAAGGAGCTTCTGATGTTTGTGTAAAAAATTGCAATATACTTCTGCCAAGACATTTTATCCTTAAAATAGGAGTGTTCCTTTCTTGTTCAGGAGCTACACATTTTACTAGTAGAACCATGAGAAGAGGATGGAGTTTCCAAAACTAAAAGATAAATCATACCGTAACAGCACCAAGGAGAGCAGAACGCTCAACTATGCTCTCTCCGAGTCCAAAACCGCCAATCCAATAACCTGCATATGACATTTTATAACTATTCAAAAGATAACCAGAATTATGTTCTATTCAAATTTAGCATAAGGCCTTTAATTAGAGTCATAAATAAGAATACCAATCCAACTGCAAATCATCAAATTTGAGGACTACAATACAATGTGCAACCAAAGACACTCGCTCATAATCCAAAAACACTTTGGATTGAATGAAAGGATGTACAAGTTCTTAGACACTATGATAGTTGTTAAACGTTCTTGCTCGCTGTAATATTGTTACTTTTTTGTTAATTGGAGTTTAGTAACGCTTATTATCTTCGTTGTTAAGATTGTAATTATATTTATTTGCTATTTGGGTAGTCAAATCATTTTGTTATTGTAGGGTTTACTATAAAGAGTCACTTGTACTATTTTTCATCAATAATGGAATATTATAGTAGCAGCCCTATTTTCTCTCTCTTCTTCTATTTATTTCTTTTCTTCTTTGCAAGTTTGATCTAAACCCTCATAGTATCAAAGTTAGGTCTTGGATGGTTAGTCGGTCAAGTCCCTTACGCAATTGAATGTTTCGGTATCCATGTTTGTTTATTTGTTAGCCCCACGTGTGAGCCCAAGTCTCACGTTGGGGAGGGTGTGAAGAGAGCTTGTATCCTACATCAAAAAATTATGTACACCCAAGGTTGATTTATTCAATTGAGGGCCTACTCTACCCATTGACAATTAGTTTTAGGTTGGATTCTCTACCATGGTATCAGATTCTGCTTTTTTTTCGTCATTATACTCCCGCTGTCAAATTGTTCTCCTCTTATATGTTAACAATATGATAATTATTGGGTATGATTATGAGGGCATTTTAGTCTTAAAGCCTCAATTATAGCAGCAGTTTGAGATGAACCCCTTCGATGTTTTATGGGCATTAAAGTGAATTCATCTGCCAAGAGTTATCTTTTTCCACAATCAAAGCATGCAAATGATATAATCCATAGGGATTGATTAACAGATTCTCCAATTATTGACACTCCTGTCAAGCTTAATATACATTACACTTCTACTAATGATGTCTTTGTTTTTGATTCTTGTTGGTAGTCTAGACGAGCTCACTGTCACACGATCGGATATCATGTATATCTTTCATGTTGTTAGTTACTGTCTTTTTTAGGACTACAGTGTATCAGGATGCAGTTCTTTGCATTTTGTCGTATCTTAGAAGTACTTTACACCAGATTTTGTTGTTTTCTTTCACTTTTTTTTTTTTATTTGTGCCTTTTCTGATGCTAATTGGCTAGTGATTTCATGGAACAAAAATTCACCACAGGTTTCTATGTCTTTCTAGGTGGTTCTCTTAGTTCTTGGAAAAAAAGGAAACATACCGTTATCGTTCATCCTATTATTGAGGCTGAATATCGTGTTATGGCTACTACTACGTCAGAGATAGTTTGGTTGAGATGATTGTTTGCCGATCTAGGAGTTTTAGATGGTTTGGTTGAGATGATTGCTAGCCGATCTAGGAGTTTCTTTTTCGGCTCTTACTCCTATGTACTATGATAATGACAGTGTCATTCAAATTGCACAAACTCTATTTTCTATGAGCAAAGAAAGCATATTGAGATTGACTATCATTTTGTGCATCACAACCTTCAGCCTAGAACTATTTTCTTGCTTTTTGTTTCTTCCACAATGCAGTTGGCTAATTTCTTTATGAAATCTCACACCACGTTGCGTTTTCGTTTTCTTCTTTACAAAATCTCAATGCTTCTTACCATAACATTATAAGTTTGAGGGGGTGTTAAGATTGTAAATATATCTATTTACCATTAGGGGGGGTCTAGTCTTTTTGTTATTATAGGGTTTACTATATATTGTCACTTATACCTATTTTTCACTAACGAGGGAATATTAGAGTAGCGGACTTATTTTCTCTATCTCGTCTCTTTTCTTCTTTGCAAGTTTGATTTAAACTTTCATCCACCTACTATTTTGTCCTAATTGCATCAATAGGATGGAATACATGCCTGCTTGGTTTTGTAAAGCAGCACTAGTGCAGCAAAGAACAAGGAAGCACTGGTTTTCCCACCTATACCTCTCATAGTTAGCACAAGACAGAGTGTTCTCACAAGAGGAATCATGAACCAGAGGAATAACCAAGGCATTTGGCGCAATTAACTCCACTTATGTTGTTTACACGCAGTAATGTAGACAGTCATAATTTTAACAGATGATGTTAAATTGATGTGGTTGTTACCCATTGAAAAGCTCCCAAGGAGTATTGTTGATGCCCCGAGTTGCTGTTAGTTTTGGCATAATGGCAGTTATCGCTAACCATTTAAAGTTCAGAAAGCCCTGGAAGTTGCAATGAAAGGAAAAAGTCAGCAGCCTCTCAACTTTGACTGTGAAGCACTGTTTTTTCAAAAGTCCACCCAAGAAACATGATAGCGGACAGAGCATTCAACAAGATAGTCAAGGCTTTTATGCGATAAGAGTGGGTGGACTAGGGATAAAAGCTTGTTTGTGATATGGCTGTGTATTAAGAAAAGATAAGAATTTATAGTGGTCAAGTTTTAGGACTGTATTAGGTATAAAACTCTATGAGAAAGTGGTAGGATTTCCAGGACTGAAATGAAATTTCAAAGATTTCATAGAACTTTGGTTGGGAGGCAGACTAGGTTAAGTTTCTGAGATTCATAGTTCAAGATTTTCCAATGAAATAAGAGGAATCAGCATCACGAGAGGTGGAGCTCTTCCTGCTTGACCTGCATATATGTTCAAGACAGTAGAAATGCTGGACAGGAAACCGAGTCACTGACATCCCCAACTCCTGAGGGTTGTGAATCATTAGTTATCACCACAATACATATATGAGCAACAAAGAATTTTCTCTAGTGTCAGATTCAATAGCCATGGTAAGGTCTAAGGTATCAATTATCTGGGCAATTTTATAATCTGAAAACAGTATCTTGAGAACCACACAATCGCACAAATTAGTAAATGTACATAGGTATTATTTACTCATATCTCGGAGATTACCAAATCTAAACAAGTGAAGTCATTTCCATCCTACTCATGTATTGTAGTTATTGTGTAATCAAAAGAAAAATGTCAATTCAGAAGCTCGTAAGTAAACTGGAAATGCAGTCTCATTGGACAGACAACACATTAGGCAGAAAACAAAGAACAGCAAAAGAAACCTGATACGTTTCGCTTCATTACTTCTTTAGCACAACGCAGGCGTTCTTCAACACTAAGGCCTCCAACAATGGACCCAAAAACAGCTCCACCTGCCTACACCGTAACTATTAATACATGGCCCACGTCAACCACTAAAGCGTTTTGAGAAAGTATATTGCATGACAAGTATCAAATACCAGGACCAGTAAGAGTTTCATTCGATAGTCACTAAGAATAACCATTAGCTCTCATAAACATTGAAAATAGTAGACAACAATAAAATTGATTTCATTGGCGCTCTTAGTTTAAAAACAATTACTTGACATAGCCATCCCATATATTGCTTCCAGCGGCACGACATGCAAAACTATCCAACTGATTCACAATCTAAAGATCCCAAGCCCACATAATAATGTTTTAAACCCGAACAAAATAATCATAGCTGATATGAAATAAATGGGGCAAGCCTTTTCTTGTTAGGTTAATTGATAACAGTTTCAGGAGTTGCTACATAGGAGCTGAATAAGGTTATTTTGCCCTACAGGTCTCTACATAAGCTAAAGGAGACACTCTAAAATAAATGGCACATAAGCTTTCAATTTTCAGTGAAGTGATCCTCTATTGTTTATTTCAGTTCGTGCTAGCTCCTTTATTATGAATTCCCTAGCCACCAACAAAAGAAAAATGGAAAAGGGACAAAAACAAAACTGTTGGATATTCCACACAGTCAAAGTTAAACATACTTTCTACTGGTTCTTTTTTCCAAAAATTTCCCCCGATGTTAAAAATTTTTTACGTTTTTAGATCTTTGAAGAAGTTGATGGACAGAAACAAACAACTACCCAAACACATACTTAGCAGAAGAAACCATTGTTTGGCGTAACACACTAGCTTGTAATACACATTAATGGCCTGCATTTAGCTCTAGGATGGTGTCAAACACATCAATTAAAGAGCAAGTACAAGTCTCAATGCATTGGAAGATTTGCCAAGTTCAAGAAGGATAACAATTTTTAGCATTGCCACTACTCCCAAAAATGCCTGACCTTCTTGGGCTGCAATTGAAAACCTACTACATTTTGAGCAGGGTCAACCGAATTATAAAATTTAGTGATCATTCTACCTACTGCTTTAAACCCGATAAATACCCTCAAGTTTGGTGGGATATGGGTTTCTGATTTGTTAATTCATTGTTTCTGATTTGTTGATTGATTGATCTTGCTCTTGAATCTAGGGTTTGTTTGTCAATTTGGTGGTCTCGCTTTGCTCCTGGGTTGTTATTTTGGGTTGGATTTTGGGATTAATATTTTGTGGGCTCTATTTCTCTCAGTGAGCTGTTGGCTTTCGTGTAGGCTTGGTGATCTACAGGGCTTTAAGTTTCTTTTGAGCTTTGGTTTTAATTTTGATTTCTTCGGTGGAAACTCATATTTTCTTCAAGCCATCAATGTGAAATTAACTAGTGAAAATTATGTTTATTAGGGTTATGTTATGAAATATTTTCTGTTGGATAAAGCTATATGGAGTTATGTTAATGGCATTGTGAAGCTCCAACAAACACTAAGGCAGAAGTGTATGCAGCCTTGAAGCACATTTGGGACATCAACAATGCTAAATTTATTACCTGGCCAAGGAAAATTTCAGACTATTTAGCTATGTTATTCGTCCAGTTCAATTTTACAAAGAGATATCAACTTGAACATGAAATTCGAGGTGCACGTCAAGGTTTTACAAATATACAGGAGTTCTACTCAATTATGATAGGATATTGGGATACAAGATAAAAGACTTTTTGGCTTTGTGCATTTTTTGATACTATTTGGGTTATTTGATTGGAAAGAAATATGAGGATTTTTTAAGACAAATGTGAAGAGTTTGAAACATTATGGGATGGGCTTTATTTTTTGGCCTCTTTTTGGGCTTTGGTGTCTAAGTAGTTTGAGGATGTACCCCATTTTTTGCATTGTCACGATCTAGACAACTTCGTGTGGAATGTAGTTTGGCTTTTTTTCATGTGGTATTTTTCATTTTGACTCGTCTTTGGTTTGGACGACTTGTCCACCACCCTTGACTGGTCTTTGTATCTCTTTTCTTCTTCCTTTTTAATGATAATATTATTTCTTTTTAAAAAGATGGAAACCTTCAAAATACCCTTAGGAATTAAATTCAAAGTGTGTGAGGATAAGTAGTCTAGAAATCCATAAGAAACCCAAAGAAAATCTCATTTGGTTTTATAGAAGGTGCAACTGCTTTTTCAACAACTAGATTTCTCAAGTATCAGATCTAGTGGACAGGCTATATTCTAGTCTGAGCAGTTTCATTGCGCTTCAGCTTTGAACTAGCCAACTAAACTGGGGACGTGTCTACACTTAAATTGTGTCCTAACTAATCTAAGCCTACTCGTAATAAGCTCAAAGTCTTCTAGCTTTGGAAGTCTACCTTACGCTTGCCAAGTGTTCAAACTCTTGAGGCTCATATTTGCTATCCAAATGATGCTTGCTACTTTCTACATGAGGGAATTATGATACAATTCATGAAATTGTCAATCCTAGCAGTCCTAAACCTAATAAAAGTGACACCACCTCCACTTTAAGTAGATAACAAGCTTGAAGATACCAATAACAAATCTAGCAAGTAAAGATCTAGGTCTTAAACATGTTAGAGAACAAGTCCTACAAATGCCTTTAATTGAACTTGAATCCTTGAGTGACGAAGTTGAATGGAAGTTCAGGATTGTAGCAAGAAATTTTAAAAAAATAGATCAACGTATTTTGTAGGAAATATAATTTGACTAGCAATACTCAAAAATATGCATCATAAGTTTTGATTATAACAAGAAATCAAAGTAGCGAAACATATACAACTACAGTAGTTACCTGGTTCAACCTAATGCAATCATCAAGCCATGTCACTGTTCGATCAACGGAGGCTTTGTTTCTCTTCTCCGAAACCCAAGCAGGCACTTCGTCAGCTAAGGTTGCCCACAAGTTTGGCTTCATGGAAGAAATCATTTCCATATATTCTACAGGTTTTATCTATAAACATAGTCAAATATGAAAAATCAATCTAACAACTTCCCACTCCAATTGGAAGGCTCAAGTAAAGGAAAGTTAAATCAAGAAAAAGTGAAGAAAATTACCAAGCGACGACCACAAGGAGTTTCAAAAGATGCCCCGGTTTTGTTAGTGCTATTACATTCTGGAAGACATAATATAGAGTCCCTTGGAATGGCTGAAAATACATATTCATGCAAACCCAGAATCTGGTGCAATCCTCCAATATCTGATATCGTCTTGGGGGAAAGATCCTCTAAGCTGCAGACCAAAAGAAATAGAAAAACTATGGTCATTCAATCAACGATACATTATAACAGCTCTCACGAGAAGAACATAACATGACCATTGCTTTTTCATTTTAAGAAATTAAAGGATTAGATTTGCATTAAAGAATATTATCCTGCCCCTAAAGTAATTGAGAAATATATATAATCCAAGCATTCTCAAGCCCATACGCTGTTGAAATTAAGAATGAGGAATACCAATCATTGCATCAAAAGGTGACTGCTAAATGAGTAAAGACCTATAGAAAGAGGGCATTCTTAGTTTGGTCTCTATAACCAAGGATGCCGAGAGAGGTCTACCAGGTACACATCTAATATTCGCACAAAAGGATTCCCCCCAAATTAGAACCCATAAACTCATGATTGTTAGCCCGAAAAGTTTGCCATTTCACCACACAATGCACAAAGACATAAACCAAATTAAAATTCCATTTATTGTATAAACCTAATGAATTTACCTTAAGACCTAACAAACTTTGGTAAGTAAAACTCAACCAAGGAACCATTTCTCTAACTTCTACGACCCATGAGAGGACTAAAAAAGTAAGCCCATATATATCTTGAATTTCTTTTCCCAAGACCCTAAGGTAAGATCTTATTATCCTACACTCTCGTATGTTGTTATCCTTAGCCAAAGAGGATGTTACAGAGAAAGTGGATACATATGCAATCATATTTTCTCGAAAGACCAGACAGAATATTAAGTAGGGGTGGTAATTTTGAATGTGAAATATTAATACGATATGGACCCAATGCGAAATTACAAGGCTACCATTGACAACCCATTTAATTTTATTACAATACGAAGAAAATGTATTTTTTATTTTTTTTAGTTTTTTATATTTCTATCATCTTGATCTGGTATTTCATTGATCCTTATGGAATTAAATGAGTTTTTATTGGGATTTACTAGCATTTGAATCGAGTAGATATTTAGTTTATTGAGGGCCTATGGGTGGGGATTTGGTTGAGAGAAAAGAGGTCATGTAGTTTCATATGAGGGAATAAAAGTAGACAAAACAAAAGTAGATCTAATTAGTAATTTGTCTGCCCCATTCGGGATTTTATAAGATTCATTAAAAACTTTAGTTTCATATCAAGACCTATGTATCATCTTCCAAGTGAGGCTACTCAAGACTTCGATGGGTGTATTCGAAGGACAAATTGACAAGGAAGTAAGCATTTAACCATGGGTGTATTCGTTGAGGTACAAGACTAGAATCCTTGTAATTGACTTTGAGGTAGTGGATTATGCTAGATGAACCGGGTGGTGCCTGGCCCTGCGATTTTTCCCAAAAGGGCTTCCGCGTAAAATTGCTTGTGTTATGAATGTTCTTATTGTTGCTTTAATTTTGCCCACACATTTGCAATTTCACACACAATGTGTTTGATGAATTGACTCTAACATTGCACTATTCAATTGATTGCAGCTGACTTTCAACTAGTTGGGGTGGCAATGACGATGGTGTTGATAGATGAAGAGAAGAAAAAAGAGAGAAGGGAATTAAAGTCATTTTAATAGTGTCGTTAACGATAGTAATTGTGCACTCGTCATAAATCACCTGTAGGTTACTTGGTTATTTTTTACTCTAATGCTATTGGGACATAATTTATGGACACAACGAGTTGTCACCAATGAAGTAATACTGAAATATATTTAATGATGGGTCCCATTATAGTATTAAATGAATTCATTATCATATCATTGGTGACAATTTATTATGTCCCCAAATTATGTCCAAAAATTATGTCCCAATAGCATTGCTCTATTTTTAAAGGTGCGGAAGGTGGTGTGCAAAAGGCACTAACCAAGTGAAGTTTGCCCCAAAAATATTATGGCTGGCGGGGCTCTCTGTGTCCACCTTTCACCATCGTTATCCGTCTACACGTATTCTAGTTCACGCTCACTGGCTTCTTTCCTCGTATACAGTAAAATAGCAAATCTCAGACTGTAACACTACAACGAATTGGACATATCACTGTAATTATTGATGACAACATACAACAAATTGCTATAGGAAAACGAGTTGGACATAGCGCTCAATGGATTGATTTATGCAATAATGCATCTGGCGTTGAAATTAAACAATACGAACAACAAGAAGAAGATATAAATATTTACACAAACAAAACAGACCCACGCCAACATACAAGGGGCAGGGGTTGTAAATACTTACAAATGAAGAGGGCTAAACTGGAGGAGATGGGAATCAGGAGAAGGGAGGGAAGGAAGGAGGTCAGGGGATATGAAAATGGGCAGGCCTTTCCGAGTGGTGAGTAACAGAGCCGGTGTCTCTATTGGGTATGGGCAACCGCCCAGCAGTAGGACCCCTGCCCGTGCTCTTCCGTTGCTCCATGCTTTCACCGAAAACTTCATTTTTTTTTCCCCCTATCTCAAGGCCGCCGCTTCGTTGCCTTTTTTGCTGTCCCGCATTGGCGTCGCGTGTTTATACGTTTGAATCTCAAATCTCTCCCGAAGTCCAAAAGTCCCATTAAAATAGAGGATATCCAATCTCACACCCTCTGTTCTTTTCACATTATTCCTAACTTCTCAGAGTAGAGTTTTCCATCGGCTCAGCAGTTTTAAACAAATTTAGAGCGAAAAACATTTTGTACTAGTCTTAATTTCCACTCTAAAAGAATAAAATTTTAATAATATACCCTTAATTAATAAAATAATAGTAAGTCCAAAAGTAAAAATTTGCTCTCTTTTATGACAAATATTTTTGTTATATTATATTAGTGTCGATGTCGCACGATGCACGATAATAATGACAAACTAGGCTCGTACCCGCACGTGAACTCTACAGCTTTATAAGGCAAGCTCTAGAAGGATCTTAGCTCCTTGCTTGGCAGCCTCAGCTCGACTCGTCTTAACTAATTCAAATCAGTTGAGATATTCACCCTAGAAGACGTCAACTTCTATTTCACTTCCATTGTCTCTTTATTCAAATAACTGTTAAAATTTTATAACGGTACAATCCATTGACCTATAAAAAGGTCAAATTATGTATCATCCAGGTAAGTAATCTATTCCCAGTTAAATACAATTTCTCTTCATCGTTCTCTTATGACTTTATCATTGGCGGGTCGATCGTCAAAATCCCTCTGGCCTTCGACTTCTTATGTAAGAAAACTTCCACCAGTTGCTAGGTCACAACTTTGGCAATNTCTTAATTTCCACTCTAAAAGAATAAAATTTTAATAATATACCCTTAATTAATAAAATAATAGTAAGTCCAAAAGTAAAAATTTGCTCTCTTTTATGACAAATATTTTTATTATATTATATTAGTGTCGATGTCGCACGATGCACGATAATAATGACAAACTAGGCTCGTACCCGCACGTGAACTCTACAGCTTTATAAGGCGAGATAACCTGAGCTCTGCAGCTTTATAAGGCAAGCTCTAGAAGGATCTTAGCTCCTTGCTTGGCAGCCTCAGCTCGACTCGTCTTAACTAATTCAAATCAGTTGAGATATTCACCCTAGAAGACGTCAACTTCTATTTCACTTCCATTGTCTCTTTATTCAAATAACTGTTAAAATTTTATAACGGTACAATCCATTGACCTATAAAAAGGTCAAATTATGTATCATCCAGGTAAGTAATCTATTCCCAGTTAAATACAATTTCTCTTCATCGTTCTCTTATGACTTTATCATTGGCGGGTCGATCGTCAAAATCCCTCTGGCCTTCGACTTCTTATGTAAGAAAACTTCCACCAGTTGCTAGGTCACAACTTTGGCAATCCATCTCGGTGAATAGATTATGTGATCAACAGTTGGCGCCATCTTTGGGAATGATAATCATATTTCCAAAATCACAAACCCTCATATCTCATGGCAATCACCTAGTCGAAGGAACCCGCAGTGGATCAGACTCACCCTCTATTGGCCCAAAAACAATCTAAGAGGTGGGTGAATTAGGTTTTCTTCTAATATGACTTAATTGAAAATCAATTTTACTATTTGCAAAATTGCTTTCTCTATATGTATATATATAAACAATAGTATGCAATGTATGTCAATGTGCACAAGCAAAATATAAAAGAGAGATAAACACAATGTTTATTGAGGTTCGGCCCCCAAATACACTTGGCCTAGTCCTCTCTTCTTCCTCCCCTTGGAGTTTCCTTTCACTTGCTTGAGTCTCTTCAATGGGCAAGAATCAAAACAACCCTTTACAACCTTCTCGAAGTAAAAATACAACTCTTTCTAGGCTCACTTCAAGAAGTACAAGAGATTCTCTCTTTTTCTCTTGCTAGAAAGATATCTCACACTTATGATCAAGCTCAAATAGACAAGAGAGAATGAAGACAAAGATTAACTTTACAAGAATATTCTCAAGACAAAGATCAAGATGAGCACACTCACTTTTTTTTTTAGCCAAAGTCTAAGTATCCAAATAAGTTGTTCTTGGAAGCTCACAAGTCTCTATTTATACTTTGGTGTCTTAAATGAGAGGAATGGTTGACTTGTCAAAAAGTTGGTCAGTTCTATCATAACTTCCAGACACTTATCCAACAGACCTGATGTACTACCGAATGTAGCCGTTATGGCTTAACAGTTACATCCGGCATACCGGATGTTCATCTAGTCGACCCAATATCCCCATGTTCCTCCCATTCTTTCCTCCTCATTTTCATTATTTTTTAGAGAGTCTTTAGTAACTACCAGCTCCTCATCTAGTAGATTGGTTACTGGCGATGTCTTTTGTGCTCTCAAGTTCCTTCTTCAGGTTAACCGGTTAAGCATTCAGGTTTACCGGTATACTGACATAGGCTTCCCAATTGCCTCAACCAACATATCAGATGGCTTCCAAATGCAGCTCTGACATTCTGGATTGGGCATCTGGCATACCGAATGTGCCTTCCGGATGAATCATCTGGTATACTAGATGCCTCTTTGGATTTGTACCACTTTTTCACTGTTCATCCTTTTTCTTCTTGGGTGAGAACCTACACTTTATCCACATACACCAAAGGTCACATTAGTCCATTTTGGGATGTTTGTTATCATTAAAATCAAGCTTAACAAAGCCTTGGGTCAACATTCTCCCGCTTTTTTATGATAACAAACATCCTCAACATAATACACAATTATCAATATGCATTTTGTATAAATCTCCCCCCACAGCACATGCATTTCATCATTAGCATTTTTTTATCCGAATAGTATATGAAAAAAGGCTCCCCCTTAATCATTGCACTATTTTTATTAAAAATGCTAATATTAAATAGCATATTGATTTTAGAGTATTTGAAAGTAACCATCATATGTATGTGTGCTTAAATGAGTGATCCTAAGCACATACATATATTTCTCCTCCTTTGACATCATCAAAAATAGATTATGCATTGTTCAATCACTTGTCGTGGGTGGAGTTTTTAGGAATTTACAAGACTAGTTATTGCACACATGTGATGCACGTGGATTATTTTAACTTATAATTTGTGTTTCTATTATTATTTTTTGTGATATTGTTTTATAGATTTATCCTTACAGGTTTTCAATTAAGATGATAAATAGATATCACAACTTTTTTTCTAGCATAATACTAAATTGTGACATAATTAATCATTTCTTTTCAATGTTTCAAACTATATTTTAGCAACAAATAAAACAAGAGCAAATGAAGGAAAAAAAAAGATGGATTTATGTAGAATCTATAAAATTATAATGGAATAGAATATAGAACGGATTTACTCACATGATCATATGGTATGTGTCTAATGCTTGCACCAACACCAAATGACTTAGAATTGTAATTTATATTTATTTTGCAACATATCCACCAAAATAAAAAATTCTAAAATATCTTAAAGGTGAAAAAACCAACAATATCTTAAGTGTACTGACAAATATTAAAACAATGAATGATAACTTGAATCTATAATCGAAAATGAAAAATATATGATTCAAAAGAGTCACATTTTTCCTAGTCTTTAAAGGACATACCAAGTCTTTAGCTTAATTAGTATAGGATATATGGTTAGATGATCAATAAAAAAAACTTTGAAATAAATCCACAACTATAGTAACAAACCATAGTTAGCTAGGTTTTGAATAAAAATTAAAAAATAATATTCGGATGAGTCATTTCCATCCTAAGTTTAGAAGACAAAATAAGTTTTCAATCTATAAAAAATAAATGTGCGACGCCCCTAAAATCGGAGGTCCCGTTGACCACCCGTCAACCCGCGAAAATACTCGTGATTGTCGCATAACCCGACATCACGTCTATCACATCCCTGTAACTGGGATTACAACTCACACGAGGATCCGCGTTTCCTTTTATCATTTAATCTCATCGAGGTTCAATATACCCCAATGTAACCTATTTAAAGTCCATTTGTGCATTAGAACCAAAGAACACATAACCCAAGAGTATGACAATGCATTCTTAAAATTTCAGATTTTTGAAAAACCTTCCGGAAGGTTATGTTATGGACCTTCCGGAAGGTTTGCTCACTGGAAAATTTCTACTGGAAGGTTTATAGATCTTCCGATAGGTTTTACCTTCTAGACTAATTTCTACTAGAAGGTTTTGCTTATCTTCCGGATGGTTGCCCACTGGATAACATTTTACCTATACCTTCCGGAAGGTTTTTCATATAACTTCCGGAAGGTTTTGCCTATTGGACCAAAAATTTGCACTAACCTTCCGGAAGGTTGTTGTGACCTTCCGGAAGGTGTTGCCTAGAATTTTATGCTTCATCAGATTTTCATTTTCAATTCATACAAAACCTTTCCAAACTCATTCCAAACATGTATAATGACATTTTCTACATTATACATGATCCATGCAAGTTCTATTACAAGCATTTGCATAATTTTTACATGTTAAAACATTGTTCCTACAAAAATTACACAAAATATGCCACAAGTCAGCTTTTCTTCATCGTTGAGGCCTCGAATGCGAGTCCTCTCTCGGTACGAACCCCGCACCTGAAATGTTTCCCGTATGGGGTGAGCCAACGCCCAGTAAAAAATTTCTTACAAAGGCTACTCCTCAACCTAAGTGTATATGCAATGTTCATATACAACATTCACAATCATTCAATAATTCCAATCAAGAATATACATGTTTCATGTTGAAATCTACCATGTCATGCCATAAATGAAATGAGATTCACTCACGCACCTTAACCCAAGCCTTCACCGGCTCTCACCACACTATGCAATGCAAATGTAAAACATTTATACTTGATGAAGTACATCCAAAGATCATTTTGAAACAACTCATGTGTTTATAAAAAAACCAATTCATTTCTGGATGTTTTCCATCAAATGAATCATTTATATAACCAAAAACCATGTATCTTTATTTGGGTAGTGAACTTTTGGTGTTGTACCGCCGTCTCCACACACCGATACACTTTTTTGGACTTGCACCATCGGAAGTGTATAAACCAATGGCCGGGTCTTGCACCCGAAAAGGGATCTATCCCTTCTTGTCATACCCGACACAAGTTTTTCATGTATGCAATCGGGCGACTTAGTAGGATATTCATCCCCATTTTCCCGAGCCC